CCCCCCCCCAAGTGGAGTGCATGGCCTATTGCCATAGTAACAGACAGCCATGACAGGTGGAGATAGCAGGTAGTGCGGCGATGCATGACTCCCCCTGGGACTGCAGAATGCCAAAACTATAGAATGAGAATAAGTAGAACATGCCCTCTTATACAGAATCACCTGTGTACATTTAATTTATTGAAGTGGGGTCCAATCCTTATCTGTATTCTCCACATGCAGCAAAGCCACTCTGCCATTGTTTCACTCTGCAGCTGGACACATGAGAACCAGGAGCTCCGTGTATTTAAGCGTAAGTATGTGCTTCTATTTCACCACTCTCTATGGTCTGACCTGAACCAGGAATTGCCAAGTCAATCTGTTCCACGTCAGTGAAGGGACTGGATTCTGTGCTAACAAGAGCCTGCAAATCCTCTGCAGCAAAACCGTCCCCTCTAAAATGTGCAATGAAATTGATTCGGTAAATGATCCCATGCACACACACACACTAGTCGCAGCCTTGTTGCAACTTGCTCACATGCACTGCAGAGACACTTTGCTCACACATCCACACACAATAAGGTACATGAATCAGTCTCCAACGTGCACTGACACCATGATCAGCACCGTGCTCCCATGTCTGCAACACTCTCTGAGGTATTTCTCCCTCACTTGACCACTGCAGTAGTAGAACACGTGGAGGGGTTGGACAAAAGCGAAGTGTTTTCTGAGCTGAATGCAAAGGACGCATGTTTCTTTTGTAGAGAAAGCAGCTACTGATCCTCACTAGGAAGTTACTAGATGATTTCAAACTGATAGATGTGGTAGTAAAGGGGAGGAGCAAACAAGCACAATCTTTAATGAGATGACAGCTCACCTCCTGCTTTTACAGCTACATGGACTATCTGCCATGATGAGTGAGTGATGTTTGAAAGGCAGTGACAGAAAGATAGAAACAAAGACAGCTAGTAGACTGCGATGGAAATACTTTACCCCCCTGAGACTCACCATGAGCAAACACACTGCAGATTCAGGCATGAGAGGGACAGCCATGATGGGATCCTCCTAAAGATTCTTGTAAAAAAAAAGAAAAGGAAAGTGGCGAATTTCCTGGAGGGAGACTCTTCGTTATCCTCTTCTTCCTCCTTCTTCTGAGTCTTCAATCAGGACGCAGTCTCACCTCTGTCCAGATGAAGTCCTTTGACTCTGTGTCCTCAACCACCTCCCTCTGCTTCTCAGTCAGTGCAGCAGACACCCTCAGGTCTCTAATTGTAATGCCAGTCTCTGAAGAGCCTGCGACTCCCTAGTTTCTCCAGACTGAGTGAAAAGCAATCTTCCCACTTCCAGTGCTTTGATCTCGGAGCACAGCCGAACCCTCCCCACTCCTCCTTTACTTTTAAAACACTCCCTGCAGACCCCGCACCCACCTCCCCCTAACCCCTGTGACTCTGGTGCCTCTCGCTAAAAGCTCTCCTCCCTCAGTTGCTGCCTCTTGCCTCCCAACACAAAGCACATCCAGACGCACACGTGAGTCTCTCAGCTTTCTCCTCAGGCTGTCCTGTCGCCACTGGAGAGGACGCAACCTGCATCAGTGATGCTCCCCAGTCTGAAGCACTCCTCCACTGTGGTGGGAAATACGCTCACCTCACCTCTCCATCCGCTCAGATATCCAATGCAGAGAGGGCTCTCCTTTACACTAATCCCCTGCCTCATATATCATGAGCATGAGACAAGGGCAGAGACATAGAAGCAAATAAAGGAGAGTGTGATGAACGGTTTCAGAAGGACAGAGATTGAGGTAAAGGAAGCCAGGAGCAGAGAGATGTTGTGTAGACAGCAGCCGCCGGTATGAGAGCTCCACACTGCGCTGAGCGTAAATGAAGGTGGGTGGAGAAGAGGGAGGGGTGAGAGCAATAGAAATGCAGGGAGTAAGAGCAGACCGCGCCTCGATGTCGGCTGAAACAGCAAAAAAGCATGGGATATGAGTAAGTACACCTCACACCTCAATGAAAGGGGTGTGCATGTGCAATTGTGCACATAAGATTTAGATAGTAGCAGACGTATCCACAGGAGCACATGCTGCAGACTGTGATTTTTTTCCCAGATCAGTGTTTGACATTAATAATTTAAACACTAAATAGCCTTGGTTTGGATTTTGTCCTGCATATTCATGAGGAAGCACACACAGCAGAGAGACAGAGGTGAAGACAAATAATGAGAAAGAGATGGTTGGAAGCAGAATGATATAGAACAAAAGCAAGACTCATTAATAGCTTAAATGTTGAGAATGTGTAATTTCCGTTATGTGGCATGCACTTGAATCTTTCTGTGGATGTGTGTGTGAAAGTATATGTCTATACTTGTGTACTATAGCTAAAATATACTGTATATAATTTTTATTTCTCAATATAGGTAGATGGTTCCTTGCAGAACCTAAAAAGGTTCTCCTATGACATCACAGCAAAGAACCACTTTTTGTTCTAAATCAAACATTTATTTTGAAGGGTGAAAAGACCTTGCAGGCTATAACTAATTGTAACTCGTTTTATTTCATGCATTTAATTTTATTTAAGTCAGTTATTATGTCTCAGTAAAACTGGCCCGTCACCCAGCTGCTAATTGAAATTCACTTGCCCAACTTCAGTAAATAACACATGCCTAGAAAGAGAATTTTGGGTATGCACCCTTAAACACCTTTCGCTCCTCCTCAGCCATGTTCTACCAAGAAACGTCTTCTGGCACTGCCACCCCTGCATACATGCCAATCGCATTCCAGCGTTTTTTTGTGGTTCCCCAACGGTGGAGCGAACTCTCAAACGCCATCAGAGCAACTAATTTAAAGCATATCTCTTCTGAGAGCACCTTCTCTATTATCACCCTAACATGCCTAATGAGCATTCATTGTTCACTTTCTGTGCAGTGCGTCATCTGATCACAATGTCTTACTGGAGTGATTTAAAGCTTTAGAGCTTGTAAATGAAAAAGGTTGTAAATGCAAGACATGCATGTTACAAAGTGGCCCCGAAACAAGCAGCAAGCACACCAGAACAAAGTCACCCTGAAAGAGGAACAAACACAATCCAGCTAGTTGCCATGTCAACTGATAAAATGGATCTGTCATGTCCATACGTGATGTTTCATCCACGGGCCGGAGCTCTTATCAGTGTCGGTGCCTCTGTGTGAGGCTGCAGTTACTCTTGAATGTATGGTCACAGACGGCCAGTTAGCATGGCTGGAATTAGGGCTGGGCAATAAGGCCTAAAACAAACTGGGCTAAATCACACACGATATATATCTCGATATTTTGAAATCTCCTCTAAATCACTATACAAATGTTAAATTAAACCCTTTGATGCAAAAATGTCACCGATATGATGATTAAAGTAGACTCTTCTATTTGTTTTAAATATGCCTGCAAAAAGTGGGAAATCACAATCAAGTTACATTTAGCAATTTTGAACCAGGCAGCTGTACTCATAAGCTTTTAACAAATGAAAATAAATAATGTCACGGTAGGCCTCCCTGCTGTGGCCGAGTTCTCAAAGACCCTTAGCTCAAAAAGCAACAAAAAAGTGCATTCAACAAGAATCCTTAGGAAAGACATTTCCAAACCATAAGAAGATCACTTTTTCTGTTCAATCATGTTTGTAACAGCAGATCATTTAAAAAATGGTAAATTAAAAATAGCATTGGGTGCTAAACACAGACACAGAAGTCCAGGCTGTGACTGTGAAAACCTCTCTGAACAATAACACACACACCACAGGAGGAGAGGGAGCGATTCTGACACTCAGTTACTGCATGGACTGATCAGAGTGTGGAGGAGTGTTTATGAGTTACAGTGAGAGCAGGTCAGCAGGAGAGTGGAGGAGGACACAGGAAACTGAAGCAGGGTGCAAACCAACCTTCTGATCATTGAGCAGCTGCTGACCACAGAGAAACTCTGTGTTCACTGTCTGTGTCCACTGCTCTTCAACAAGGCACTTACCTGCTTCACGTGCACGCTCCTCTGATGTCACTGATTCGCTGTGAGTAAGTGGGGGCGGAGTCCCGGGGCCTGTGTGTGCACACTCCAAGTCGCGTCGAGCTCACACACACACACACACACACACACACACACA